TGGGGAATTTTAGCACGGTTATTCCACATTTCACTTACTCTCATTTTGTCGGTTTTTGAAAAGAAAAAAATAACTAAAAATAAAGTATCGTAGTTGAGAGAAGGGGAGAACGGAAGAATTGTCGATCGGTGAAAATTGGAAGAGAATTGCAGGAGAGTTACCGTAAACCAGAACCGGAACCGGAAGCGTGGAATTGGCCTCTATTCTAAGGTAAGGGTGGGGTTCAATTCTATAACCATGGGTATGATCGATTTCATGTAGGGAATCAATTCATAGGTATAATTTCCGTTAATCGATAAATGTTAGGGACAAGGTTTTTCTATGTAGGAATGAATGTGTTATATCGTTAGTAGTACGATGCTCTAAGGTTTCCCTAATGGGGTAAATATGTATAAATGAATGTGTTATATCGTTCGTAGTACGATGATCTAAGGTTTCCCTAATGGGGTAAATATGTATAAATGAATGTGATATATCGTTCGTAGTACGATGCTCTAAGGTTTCCCTAATGGGGAAGATACGTAGAAATGAATGCGTTATATCGTTATTAGTACGATGCTCTAAGGTTTCCCTAATGGGGCAAAAGGGTAGTTGCCCTAATTGTTTCGTAATTAAACCTTGATAGAGATTTGTAATTAATTATGTGAATAGGAGCAAATATGTTGTCATTACGATCGTATGTTGAATTCTTGATTGTTGATTTAAGGCTGTTATTGCTCTCATACGTGAACAGGTGGAAAATGATAGTGTCTTGAGTTGTATGAGAATGATGCTCTGTTATGGACAGTTTGGTTGTAAGCATAAGGCTTTATTGTATGGTCGTTATGGTTGTGTTGTAGTCCATAATAGGTGCATTTCATGGCATATCATCTTGGTTGGCCTGAGTTGGCGTTATTTGGAGTGTTGGCTCCTAAATGGGTTATTTGGAGTGTTGGCTCCTATCCCGAGTTTTGGAGTGTTGGCTCCTAAATGGGTTTTGGGGTGTTGGCTCCTATCCCGAGTTTTGGGGTGTTGGCTCCTAAATGGTACCACATGCATATGCACAGTTGAGTTGCATTGCCGAGTCGCATAAAGCTGCATAATTGTGTTGGTTGTCAGTTGTTGTGGCATACGTGAGATATGAAATTGGCTTGCAAACGATTATCGTTGATGTTTATAAGTTTGCGAAGGTTATGTTGTTGTGATATGATTTCTAACATGACTTTTATCATGCCTTATGTTATGTTGTTGATATCTCACCCCTTTACGTTGTATGTTACCGCCATTGGTGGTAACTTGCAGGTAGCCCGGAATGAAGTTTCGTTTTGTCGTGTAAGGTATCGTTGGTCGCTCTGATACGTAGCACTCTTGGGGGGATGAACGTTTGCCGTTATTATTTTAGTTGATGTTTTGCTGCTGCACTTGTTATAGCATTTTCATTAAATTGTTTTAATTGAACGTGTTGTAAGCTTTACTACAATTCCGTCGAAATAAGAATTGGTTGCATTATGAGTTAAATGTTAAGCAATGTTGTTGTCTGTTCATCCAATTTCGTGCTACGTATGTTATTTGAAATGTGGCTGCATAAATGCATGTTGTCTGTTTAGTTGAATGTAACATCTCTTATATGAAGAATTCTAGGCGTGTGACGACTGTCACACCTTCATTACGATCGTCATGCGTGCAATTTTTACGCTGTTGCACTCTGTTTGTTATATGAGTTGTTGTTTTTCCTGTTATCCGCAAGTGTTAGAGTTGGGGTGTTACAGTGATGACTTGACTTATTCCATATCATTCTTATTTATATTATGTGGGTATAATACTTTCCCCCCAAAAATAAGCCATCCAAAAAACATTTCCCTCTTTTATGTTTAGTCCCTGTAAATTAGGGTTTCATATTTAGAAAGGAATTCAGCTCAGGGAAGGTGAAGCGAATGGTGCGAGAGCTTGTGTGGGCAAGGCGACAGAGAGTGACGAAGCTACAATCCTGATTGAGCGATCTAATCGAATCTACCAGGTATGACATTTACAATGAACATTCATTACGAGGGGAAGTTTGTTAAGGATAATGTCGTGTACTACTTAGGTGGGGATAATGTAAAAGTAGACATTGACCTTGATAGGTGGAGCTTATTTGAAGCAATTGGTTGCAACCTTGAGTCCACTGATTATTGATTATGGTGGTATAACAGTATATCAGGTAAGCATGCAAGGATAGTTAGTGATATTGATACTGCTGTTGTTTATGAAAAAGCTGTTGAAACTAGTTGTAGTGTGGATTTATTTGTTGAACACATAGTAGTTATAGATGATAATGTTGTTAATGATGCTGATAAAATCGTTAATGATGCTGATAATGTTAAGGATAATGCTGATAATCTTGATAATGTTGAAGCTGATAATTTTATTGAGGATGATGTTGCTGATAATGTTGGATATGGTATTACTAATAATGTTGATGATGTTTAATTGATTTAATGAACCTGCTCCATTGTGTCTTTGTAGGCAAAACAACCCAAACAAAAGGTCGCAAGGAAGTTGGCGTTGAGGAAAAGTGATGGACCAAGGGTGCTCAGAAGCAACAAGCACAAAGGAGGAGAAGGAAGTAACCCTGCATAAGGGGGTACCATAGAGTTTGTTGTCATTGGACCTGTTTTGACTTATGTTTTATTGAACAACTTTACTACAATGGTGTACTTAAGCCTTGTAGTTTTCTATTATGTATTTTGAAGCCAATGTGTATTTTGGCTTAAGACTTAATGTTTATGATACAATGTGTTTTTTTTATACTTAAACCTTTATGTGTATGATACAATATGTTTATGATGCATTATCAAGTTTGTTTAATGTAGTATATTAGGTTTGTTTTATGATACATTATCAAGTTTGTTTAATGCAGTATATCAAGTTTGTTTAATGTAGTATTTTGGCTCAAGTTAGTTTTATGGACAATGATATGGCCTATTACCAATTTGATACATAAATTGACTCAAGTTAGTTTTATGGACAATTGATATGGCCTATTACCAATTTGATATGACCTATTCCTTAATTGACTTAATTGCATACATAAATTGTCTAAAACCAAAACATCTTTTTCATTCATCATATTGTACAGGGACCAATCTCAAAATACATCAATGTTACAAGGACTAACAAAAAAAAAAAAAGAAACAGACATAAACAAATGAGATTCACCACCATCTGTAATAAGCAAAGAAGAACCCCCATGACACAACCAACAATAGCTTCAACAAAGACACTTTCCTATTCTCATTCTCCAACTTAATCTTCATCTTTGCCTTTTTGCCAATCTCAATCTCTTTAAAAATGGACCATAAATCCTTCAACATTTTCGAGCAGTTGCAACCACTTTAACTTCTAAGTTCACTAGCTAGATTTCGTTCAAGCTCATCGTCCCAAATGAACAACTTGCAACCAGACATTAACCCTGAATTTTGACACTTCCAAATCTTCTTTTAGGGTTTTCAACAGAATTTGACATAAACATTTTCATACTTCTATTGTAACCACAAACCGGTGCTTGAACGTGAAGAGAGGTCGCAGACGAAGAAGAAGCCATAGATGTCGATGGAGCAGAGGAAAAATTGCGAAGGATGAAGAAGAAACCACTGATGGAAGGAGGAAAGAAGGAGAAGCAAACAAAAATGTATTTCTTTTTAATTTGATCCCTCGTTAAAAACTATATCCACATGTGTTCTTTAAAAAATAAGACAAACGATAAAACATAGGTCAGGTCATCACCGTCTGCCACCTCAGCTTTTTTTTTTAACGTTTCATTGATAACAAGGACTAAAGTCAAAGAGAAATGAATATATGGAGACTCATACCAACAAAAAAAAAGATTCAGAAACGAAAGGTAAAAACACGCTAACTTACCGAAGCGAAAACACTATTTAAGTCATTTTTTTATCATAGGAGTGCTCGTCTAAAATAGAATAATATGCACACATCACTTATTTAATCTTTAAAAATAATATTATTTTTTAACAAAGAACGAAGTGAAGTGAATACTTAATATTGAATAAAGATTTTCTTAGATTAAAATATAACACTTATTCATTACAATTAAATAAATAGTGCAATATGCAAGGATGCTTACTCTATTGATGATTAAAAGTAAATCAATAAATAATTAAGTTTTACCAATTACTACTAGATTATTTATTTCTTACCATACTATGCTTCTTATTAACTAGAAACACCAAATAACCGCAAACATTAAATTAGTAATGTCTATTTAAGTATTAAATCGAACATTCCATACCCATCAATAGAAAAAAACCCTCATCTGATTACATGGACAAGAAGAACCACGTTAGAAAACGATATAAAGATACTATACCAGTATTAATTAACTACATTAATTTAATTTAAAATGGAATCTAGTCCTAAATCCTAATGATGATTGATGTCAACATTTTAAATACTTAAGTACTGTCACTTCTATTTTATATGAATAAAAAATTACTACTCCACAATACAACTAAAAAGACTAATTATTGACTGCTAACTTTCACAACACCTTTGACTATCTTTTTACGGAAACATTAAGGAAGAAGACGTAGAACAAAATAAATAAAAATCAAAACCATCAAAAATCCCTTTCGTCCCTTAGCACTAACTTCCCATTCATCCATTATTCGGTGACACAGACACATCTTATCTCTCTCTTTCTCTATGCTCTATTCTTTAACTTTTCATTTCAATTCATCATATTCATACCCCTAAATTATTCACACAAAACGCATATTCAACACAACCAACCACACAAGTCAAATCAACCATAGTTTCCTATTAATCTCTATTCATATAACTTAAAAATTTAAGCTCCACACAAATTAACTTTTTTTGCTTACTATGTTCTGGATCAGTTAACTAGCTTCAATAGATTCGTAAGTTGATTATTTCTTCAGTTTCCATTCATCTTTCAGAATTTAATTACTTATTTATGTATTTTATTTAACCTTTTTTCAGGATCAGTTCAAAGCAAAAGCAAAATGAATCACTGTGTTCCAGATTTCGATATTCAAATCGACGACGAAGAAGAAAACCCTGTGCTTCTCTCAAAGAAACCTTCCGCTGCGTAATTATTCATTCATTTCGCTGAGAGTTTGTGTTTTATTTTTCTGGAAACTAATTAAATCTTTAAAGTTAAATTCTAACAGGCGAAACAATGAGATCATGGAACTGTTATGGCAAAACGGTTCAGTTGTGATGCATAACCAAAGCCACCGCCAATCTAAAAAACCGCCATCGCCGGTAACTAACACCGGCAATCAAGTGATTCCTGATCATAGAGAGATTCGATCCTCCGATGCAGAAAACTTCAATATTAATCAACACTTGTTCATGCAAGAAGATGAAATGGCATCGTGGCTTTTCGATTCAATCAATGAAGATCCTCCTATCATCAACACTGAAACACTTTTTCATCCATCCACCGGTGTTATACCAGGTTCTTCTCTACTTCAGTCTGAGCAGTTACTTCCGCAACCGATACCATCGGCTTCTCGGCCTCCGATTCATCCCGCGAGGAAGGAGGATCAAGTGCTGAATAGAAAGCATAATAATTTCACATATTTTGCTAACCATAGCAATGCTAGTATAGAACCAAGTATCTCTTCAAGCTCAATGATTCCTGCTAGACAAGAAACCACGATGGTGGATTCATGCGATACACCGATTATTACGGAGATGACTAACACAGCTTCAAAGCTTTCTGAAACAATCAAGAGCACCGCGTATACAGAATGCGTGAGTGTTAGCACTGCCGGAAAAGCGGCGGCATATACTGGATGTGGTACTATAAGCCAGGTTGGAAAAGCTGCAACTGCAACGACTAAAGGAGTGAAAGAGACTTCAAAGTTAGATATTACAATGACGTCATCGCATGATTGTTCAAGTGGAAGTGTTGATCCGATTCAGAGAAAACTGGAGTTAGAACGAAAGAGGAAAGGTCGTGTATCAGACAAATCCGAATTACAGAGGCAGGTCAGTAAAATTCGATTACTCATTACTCGGCAGTTTCTCTCTGGTAAATATTCCGATACTTTCGGAGAATTTAATCGAGTGTATACCATCATCCAATTATTGAATTTATTTATTTATTATAATTAATTTTTAAAAATAAAAAGTTTTAGCTAAATTTTTGCCTAAATTTTAGATAACCAAAGTGACTGCTATTGATTCGCGTGAAACTGACCTATTTACATTAAATTCAGCGTCGATGTATCGAATTCAATTCAATTTTTTGGTGCGTGTGTCCCATAACTTTTTACTGTGTCAGTCCTATTCTCTCTCTTTGAAACCACTAATAGCAAAGTGTTAAACAAAACACTACCACGTGTAAAGAGAAAGATTCAAAACTTGTTGATCATATTTTGGATGGAAGGAGCGGTTTTAAGGTGTATAATGAGACTTTATTTTCACTCTCTCTCTCCCTCTTAAAGTATGAGGTTGATCCATTAATAAGCTCTTAGGAGTACCCAATGGCATAGAAGCAAAAATATTCCAAATTAATTAAGCTGCCACAGATACTTCTGATGGACCAAATAGTACTAGTACAATGTAACAGAAAAAAATATCAAATTTTACTGATTATAAAAATTATATAGTTGTAGCAACATATTTATAAAATAATCATATAATAAAAGAGAGAAAATAAATATATTTTTTTATTTCTAAATTTAATTTAAGTGATGTTATAAAAAAGTATTAATGCATGTGAAATTTTATATTGTAGAACTACAAATATAAACCAGTAGATCTTGTAGTTAGAGACATGTGAGTAAAATTTAACTAGATTTACCATATTTGATAGTTTAAGTTATAAACAAAATTACATATTAAAAAAATATAAGTAAAATATAATAATTTCTATCAAAAAGATCTTATAACCAGAGATAGATACATGTAAGCAAAATTTAACATATTTTACAGTATTTTATAGTTTAAGTTATAAGCAAAATCACATACTAATAAGAAAAAGCAAAATCACATACTAATAAGAAAAAGCAAAATCTAACTATTTTCATCTTATTTCATGGTTTCTTTCAAAGTTAATGAAAAGAGATAATAATTTAGACGAATGCTTAAAACTGTTTGGTTAAGTAAAAATGATTAAATAAAATTAAATGAGTGCGATATAAGTTAGTTTTATTTAGGACATGTTTGTTTTAAAGATTAAAATTATAATTTTGAGAATATTATTTTTCAAAATGTTATTGGCAGGAAATTTATTCCCATCAAACGCAAATATTTTTAAATTTTATTTTAATTAAATTTTAAAAGCAAAAAATACAAAAAAATAAATAAATGTGCTAAAATAAGATGAGAATGAAAAACTATGGTTAGGTATTTTATATTCTATGAGAATGTAAAATTTTCATCCTTTGACATGAAAATAAAAATAAAAAAATTTATGAATAAAACATATTTTTGAGAATAAAAATTCGGTATAAATTATCAAAATTTAAAACAAATAAACCAAATGTGTGAATTTCAATGTTTTATTCCCAAAAATACCATATCCGAAAAACAAACACCTCCTTGCTTATACTCCTTTTATTTCCATATATACTTTTCCGTTCTTTAATGGAAATACTAAAAATCCGTCTTTATAAATATAAGTCTCTTTTATATATTAGTTGATAGATTTGTTGCTTCTTTTCTAAAAATCTAATCATTAACATTAAATGTTTTAAAATATGAAAAATTAAGATCATGTATATGTCAATTGTTTTTTGCTTCATTTTTATAAAATATAAGACAAGCTTTAAGTATATTTTTATAAAAAGTAATACGTATAATGTGTTTAAATTTCTATACGGAAATAATCAGCCGAATTCAATAAAATGAATAAATTCTATGCTATGAGAAAAACATTTTTAATGTTTTTAATGGTATAATGTATTAACTACGTAGTAGTTCGTTTATTTTAATTCAACTTAGAATTAATACATGTGCAGATAGAGAGCACCATGGGTAGTACCCACCTATCCCTATTTGTCCAATTTGAAAGAAAAAATTTCCCTACTCAAATCCATATTTTGTACAATTGGTTTGTAATTGTATTAGTATATTACAGGTTTTTAAGTGTCATGCTTATATTTGTTATTGATGTAGAAATAAATAGATTTATTATTAAATTTCATATTATTTTAAATTTTTTATAACATTAAAAAAAATTTATTGTTGAATAATAAAATAAATAAATATTTATATTAAAATGTATAATAATTTAGTAATGATATATATTTTTAAAGTAATATATATATATATATATATATATATATATATATATATATATATATATATATATATATATATATATATATATATATATATATATATATATATATATATATATATATATATATATATATATATATATATATATATATATATATATATATATATATATATATATATATATATATATATATATATATATATATATATATATATATATATATATATATATATATATATATATATATATATATATATATATATATATATATATATGATCACGCCAAATGTATATATTTACATGTTAAATAACAAATTTCTTTGAAAACACTCTTTCTCGAATAAACTGAATATCAAACTCTATAAATATCAAACTTGGGTTCGCATACTAAGAATATGATTGTAAGACATCATGACAAGACTCATATTGTCACATAGTAATTTAGGTGGATATAAGGGAACAGGAAAGGAGGGATTCAAACCATATTAATATAGAGGTAGTTTGAGCCAATGCACAGTACTCAACTTTTGTGCTTGATCTAGCACTAGAGACTGCCTTTTAGAACTCCATGCCACAAGATTTGGTTCAAAGAAAAAGCACGTTTTTGAAGTTGACCTGCGATCAACTGGGTCATTAAATCCAATCGGAGTTACTATATACTCTTAGTGAAAACTTGTGAGTTGAGGTACCTTGGAATTTTTCTAATCCATGAGTTTTAAAAGGTGTTGACATTAATTTACAAGATTTATTCACACTAGACGAAATATGTGGCTTAGTTAATGTCACATATTGTGGGGCATCAACTATGGATCTGTACAATTGTGGACCTAAAAAGGTTTGAGAGCCAAGTCTCCTGAGCTTTCAGGTGCTCAACATGGGCGTTGGGATTCCATTGGCTCCATTCACATTTTTCTAGGCAAGTAAGTCTTGAATGTATTTTGATGAGTTAGCAAAAGTGATCCATTGGTCTTAGGTTCTATTTCTATTCCCAGTAAGTACTCAAGTTTGTCAAGTCTTTTTAGAGGAAAAGTATCATGCAACTTGATAATTAGATTATGCCTCAGATGAGATGCAGGCCCTATTATTAGTATGTCATCAACATACACAAATACTTAAAGGGTTACACCTTGTTTACAGTACACAAACAAAGAATGGTCACACCTTGAGTGAGGAAAACCAAATTGAACTAGAGCTTGACCAAGCTTCTCATTCCATGCCATGAAGGATTTCTTGAGCCAATGGAAAGATTCGTTCAGTTTGCATTCAAGAGCCTTGTCTTGGTGAACAAAGCCTGGTGGTTGAACCATGTATGTTTCTTCTTGAAGGTTGTCACTTAAAAAGGAATTATTGATGTCTACTTCTTGAATGCCCCATTTGTAGGTAATAGCCAGCCTGAGTATGATCTTGATTGTTGTTAGTCTCACCACTAGAGAGAAAGTTTTATTAAAATCAGAGTTATGTTGTTTGTGATAGTCCTTAGCTACCAATTTTGCTTTGTACTTTTTTCATGCTTCCATCATGATTCTCTTTGACCCTAAATACCTGCATATACCAGCTCATTGTGCAAGTAAGATTCTAAAGGTGCAAGGTGATGAGATGCACCTGAGTCAGCAAATTAGGCTTGTGAACCGAGTCCAGATGGAAGGGAGTACTCTTGTGTGTATGCACGTGATTGATGTGTGATAGCTATCATAACCATAACCTAGGACCATGAGCCACAAACTTCATGTTTTTCATCCTTTTCTTATTGACTTCTGGATCGTTATGATTGAAAATTTTAAGGGACAAATGATTTATCATATCTGTGCCAGTAGTTGTTTATAGAATGGTCATAATTTCCAGTGTGATAGCTATCACGACTTCGACCTTGATTGAAGTGACCCCAACCACGAGAGTTGGAGAAGTTACCATGCAAATTTCTTGGCTATTGATTTGTATGAGCAATATTTGTAGATACAAGGGGTGGTTGTTAATTCTTGTCTGAACTTGTCCAGCTGAGCTTCTAAGACAGAGAAAAGAAAAGTGCTTCTACATCACAGAGAGTATGAGATTCACCATGAACTTATGCATCTTTTGCGTCAGAATTACCTCTCCCACTTGTTGGTTCCATAAAAGGTAGTTGTTTTCCAGCAATTTGATTGGAAACTTTGGTCCAAACGAATTGTTCGAATTCAATGTGGAGAAGATGGAAGATATTCCTTGTGACTGAGATGGATCTTTGGTGAAAGAAGTTTGCATTTCTGGAATTTCCATTGTTGCGGCAGTTTGGATAACTAATGACTTTTGACGTGGGTTATAAAGGAGTTTAGATAAGTGAAGACGAAACCACCATTTAAGCTTCAAATTGAAGCTTGAAGATAACAGAGATCGGTTAGAAGATTAGGAAAGCGTGGTTGAAACGAAACCCCTTCAAATACCATATTAATGAATCTTAGATTATCTGCATTCTAATAACATGCGGCCTTTTATACAAAAACACTTAACAGTAGCTTTGATAGAAGCTTAACTGCTAACAAAATCTACTCTATCAAAGCTTGAATTACCAATAACTAATATTGTTAGTTCATCAGTTAAGATTGACCTGGTCTTGTGCTTTATCTCTAACACCCATGAAAACAATTTGTATATATGACTTGCCATAAACTAAAAGCCTGTCACCTCATTTTAATTTTGTGCATCATGTTGTTTCCATAATATACTTATTTGTATTTGCTTACCGAAAAATGATGTCCTTTTTGAATGTCAGGAAGGAAAAAAACAAGTTCGTGGATCTACATCTACAAAGAGATCCCGTGCTGCAGAGGTTCATAATCTCTCAGAGAGGGTATGTGCACCTACATTACATTAATGAATTTCATAATTTTATGTTCTTTTTCTCATATCTGAATTTTTCATATTGTATACTATGTGTGCAGAAGCGTCGAGATAGAATTAACGAAAAAATGAAAGCTCTGCAAGAACTTATACCCCGGTGCAACAAGGCAAACACTAAATAACCTTTCACTATTATTATTTTCATTGAGTATGCTGATTTTTACTTCTGACTTCTACTTGTTTCTAATTTTGATTCGTTTTCTGAACTTGATAGTCCGACAAAGCTTCAATGTTGGATGAAGCAATCGAATACTTGAAGTCATTGCAGTTACAAGTGCAGGTAAAGTCTTCAATTCTGTTTTCCTCTAGTTTGCAGACTTTACTTATTCTCACTTCAATTTTTCAATACAGATGATGTCCATGGGATGCGGCATGGTACCGATGATGTTTCCAGGAATGCAGCAGTATATGCCAACGATGGGGATGAGAATGGGCATGGGGATGGGAATGAGTTTAGGGATGGAAATGGGAATGAACAGACCAGTGATGTCCTTTCCTAATATCTTACCTAGTTCACCTTTGCCACCAACAACAACAACAGTAGCTACTCCATATGGCTCAAGATTCCCTGTGCCTCCTTTTCATATGCCTCAGCCTCATGTTCCTACAGTACCTGAATCATCAGATAATCCCCTTAACTCCCTCGGTACTCTGCTTCCAGATCAATCACGCATCCCAAACACAAACTTCGCTGATCCTTATCAGCAATTCCTCGGTCCCCACCAGTTGCAGCAATTAATACAGGTAAATACTGTGTCCATAATGTTATTTATTATGATTGTTGGACAAATTTTTAGATAATTAGTTTTTAAATATGGCACAAAGATGTTATATTTACGAGGTCTGTTTGCAAATTTGGAATCAGGGAATGAACCAACAAAATGTCAACAGGCCAGGTAACAGTGGGGGCCAGGGTAATTCAGAAAAGCATCAGGCAGGTAATTTTCCAATAGAGTTTTCTGATATTAATTCAGTTGTTTTCTTAAGTTACAACTCATAATCTTTAGTACAGTAGTAAATTTTTATTGCTATAAAAAAATGATAATTATTACTATTAACAATGGATTTGTGTACATTGCAGGATAGATTATCCGGCATCTAGATATCATAGCAGCTGTCATGGTGGTGTAATGTGCTAGAGCTAACATTTTAGCAGATCTCAGTAGCAAGCTAATTTATACACATTTAACATGTAAATTATTGCCGCCCTATTATTATTATTATTATTATTATTATTATTATTATTATTATTATTATTATTATTATTATTATTATTATTATTATTATTATTATTATCACTTCTTTTGGATCCATCATATTAATTATTATTATTATTATTATTATTATTATTATTATTATTATTATTATTATTATTATTGGATCATCATATTCTGTCTTTACTGTTTTATTTTAGAGGCACTTTATTAAAGATTAGTAACAGTATAAATATTAAAATTTAAAATATGATTTTAAATCATATTTTTGGAAACATTTTAAATCATAATCTCAAATATAATTTATTTTTATGAGATTAATTGATAATTGGCATGCATTAATGATGTCTATCAATTAAATTCTATTTTTATTATAGTTTATCATGTATAATTAATTGACCATGTAAAATATTGTTATAATTAATGGAGTTGATAATCAAAATATGAAATATTTAAATATCTATGTAGCACTGAATGCCTCTCTTTTCAAAAATTGTATTTTTTTGGTAAATTATTTTTTATGAACTCTCAGCTATTGAATAAACACAGAAAAGGTTGGACACAAGAAGCAAGAAAAATGATCCATTTTCAGCACCGATATTTCTAAAAATCAGCATATCTACGTCGGGGTGGAACACCTACGCGGACATTACACAATAAAGGAAATAAATAAATGAGGAAAAACTAATGTTTTAATATCAGTATGTAGATGAACATTGGTCCCACTCATCCATTTGTATTAACAAAAAATGAAACTAGTGTTCTTTCCATTAAAAAGAAATGAGTTGGGGTCAGATTTGTAGGTTCTTCCCATGTGAATCGTCTTTGACTGAAACTTCAGACTAGGAAGAATATAATGACAGCTCACAAGAAGTGAGCTCCGATGAGCAAATCCTCTGATTCAAATCGAAATCAACATTATTAACCCAAATCAATTTAAATACGGGTATAAATCGAGTCAACCCGGTCAAATGAATATATTATTATTATTATTATTATTATTATTATTATTATTATTATTATACACGGTTAGTATAAAAAAATTTTACACAATCAATATATCACAGTTATTTATTGGTATTATTTTTTAAGTGATTAAAATAAAAGTCAAACATTTTAAATAAATTATCGGTTGTGATTAAAATAAAAGTCAAACATTTTAAATAAATTATCGGTTGTGATTAATTGACTTGGCCAGTGTATATAAATTAAATTATTATTATTATTATTATCATTCATTTTCGCTCTGTTATATAAAAAGAATCAAATGAATATATTATTATTATTATTATTATTATTATTATTATTATTATTATTATTATTATTATTATTATTATTATTATCCATATTTTCTTTATCATATAAGACGAATTCAAAAAGACTTTGAGTATGCATAAGAAGACGCCTACCATTAGATCAATTTGCTCTTTGTGATTTTCACCTCAAAATGTATATATTACATAGTTAATATTTTATTTCAGTATTGTTCCGGACTACTCCAATGGCTAGGAATGACTCAATCCACTTCTGCACCTAGAATAACCCAATAGCCTTAGTCCTGCCAGCTAAGGACAAAGTGAAACTCTCTCTCCTCTACCCCTCTGCCGAGGAAGGCTGACCAGCTGACCCCCATGAACAATTGCCCCTCGTCATATTCTTGCCCGTCACGCACGGTTTCACCATCCAAAAACAGTCACGACGCTTGTGTCCGCGACCACGCATGTGCTCGTCCCAACGGCTAGTTTCGAGCACATTTGCCCGTTCCAATGGCTAGTTTTTGGCAGTTACCTATTCTTTGGGAGTGAATATCTCCCCCCGAAAATAGGGACCAATTGTCAAGCGTTGGAGAAATTATAAAAACCCTCTCACTTGAGAGGGTCGTGTATTCTAAATCATTCTAAATCACCCTAAGACATACACTTTTTGTGCTTGCCTTCTTTTCGCCCGATTCTTATTTTAACATCGTAGTACCTTGCAAATACACCCCCTCCTCATCCTTGCAACCAAGCATCACCAACAAAGTCTCTGGTCCACTTCAGGTTCTGATCAGCCGTCAAGATCAGTGGCGTTGTCTGTGGGAAACTTTGTTCTCCCCGTTTTTCTTTTCCTGTAAATTCAAGACCAAAGCAGTTCTTTCAAGATTTCGATCATGGCCAGCCATGACAATCTCCACGATGTTCGCAATACCATCATCCCCGTTAGCAAGACAGACGCTGACGGAGAAACCCCTTTTCTTGGGAGCGAAATCCATCGGCAGAGAGGTGGAACCATCGCGTCTCCTTCCCCGATCGCGTTGACAACGTCCCGGGCCATCCATCCGAAGACCATTAGACCGTTCTAGTTTCGCCAAACACCGACCCGACCATGGCGGCTCTACTCGAGGTTCTCAACAAAACAAATCTTCTGATCCTCTAGCAGAATGCAAGAATTGGAGCCCTAGAAGAATCTCGCCGACTAAGATATCCTCCGTTGAGTAAAGAACGCTGAAGATCTCAGAGTCTTTCTTCCAGACGAGGAAGAGACTGTCGGGCACAAGCAAAACTAAACTCTCTGGCCGTGAGAAAGCACGACCATACCTCTCCCTAGAGCCAACACTCCCCAAGGGCTAAGAGGACCAGAAGGGATCTCCGGAAGGAGCGCCATTGTTTGCCTCCATCAAGATCCAAAGGTCGAGCACGAAGTCCATCTCCCCGAAGAGATCGCAGTCCTCTCTCGAACGAAGTACCCGCTCCTGTTCGAGGTCTAGCAGCAACACCGATGACGAGCCTCGCGGCCCGTTGTCCCAAGAGATTATGGTCATGTGCCTACCTAGAGGGCTGGAGAAACCCCCACCCTTGGGCACGTACGATGGCACTACATATCCAGACGAGCATATCAAAAATATCGATGCTCTGCTCGATTATCACAACGTCAGAGGCACCATCAAATGCAGATTATTTCCAAACACGCTGAGAAAGGGAGCTATGGCGTGGTACAAAATCCTCCCCTTCGAGTCCATCACTTCTTGGAGACAGCTGGGGAGGATGTTCTCCAGGCATATCACCGCCTCCCGTCGCCACCCAAAGATAAAAGCCTCCCTTGAAGCCATCATTCAAGGGAAAGACGAACATATTCAAGCTTATATCGAAAGTTTCAACAAAGAAGTCATCTAGGTCTCCACGACCGAAGATATGAAGAAATACTTGCTCGAGCGTGAGCTCCGTCCTCGCACCAAATTTTCCAAGGTTGTTGGCATCGAGATCCCCGCAACCCTGGATGCCCTCATCCTTAAGGTGCAGACATACATCCAATATGAAGAGATGGAAGCAACCAACACATCTAGGGACTCTATGAATCAGGAGAATGTCAGGTCCTTGAAGCACAATGAAGCCTCGACATCTCGTCGGGGAGCTGAGAGAAGACGGCATGACCGCCCCAGAGAATCTCGGGATCACAAAGGGCCGTCTGGCCAGTTCCACGACTACACCCCGCTCACCGTCTCTCAAGAGAAGATTCTCTCTGAGTGCTTAAACTCGGAGTTCTGCCAAACAGGGGTCCGCTTTCCAAAACAGATACCGGCCAAGCCGAACACAAATAAAATGAAGTATTATCGATTCCACAAGAGCTACAGCCATATGACCGATGATTGCGTCCATCTGAAGAATGTGATCGAGATCTTAATCAAGGACGGACACTTGAAATAGTTCGCCAAGAAGAAGGATGCTCCTAGGCAGGACGCCCAGGAATCAAAGAAAGTCGGGGAGGAGGTGCCTTCCTTGGAAGAAACCAGTCTTTAGGTCGCTATGCGCATCTCGTGGCCCAAAGACTTCTCCATCCCCGAGGAGCTCAGTGTTCCCCCTTATTTTGCTGCACACAGCTCATGGAAAACCTTCCCCTCCGCCATGGTCATCTCAGAAGGGGGTTTCAACAAGGTGATCATGGGATCCGTCAAGAGGAATTTTGAGCATCTCATTAGTACAAGCTCGAGCAAGAGTTCCACACTTGATAAGGTCTAAGGAGATTCAATCCCCATCACCTTCTACCGCGAGGAACTCCTCATCGGTGCTCCCAACTCCAGCATCCGTTTGCTCGTCAGAGCACAAATAGCCAACTTTGACGTTCAACACATTCTGGTCGATCAAGGAAGCTCGGTTGACATCATGTTTTCCCAGCTATTCTCCATGCTTCAGTTGGACGAAACCCACTTGACGCCCTATGTAGGCTCTGATCTAGAGGGCTTCAACAGGTTAGTCACAAAGTCGTGGGAGTACGTGGAGCTGATCATAACTTTTGGGGTGGCAGAAACGGCTTGGTCCGTCAAAGTCCAGTTCTTGGTCATTGACTGCCCATCCCTCTATCAATGCATTTTCAGACGGCCGACTTTGGCCGAACTGGTAGCTATACCATCAACCGCGCACTTGAAAATAAAGTACTACACTTCCAAGGGTCTCGTGACCACTCTGCACGGAGACATAGAAGCATCTAGAAGATGTTTCGAGGCAGCCTTAAAAGGGATGAACACAATCTTTGTCCGGCCAAAGACTCCCAGCAAGCCTACTCTTCCCTGTAGATCTGAAGAGGCGAAGCCGCTGCCCTGCATCGAATCTATTGACCATGACAACTATTTCTCAAAGGAAGACTTGATGGACCAGAAGCGAAAGGGGAAGGAGATTTTGCCTAGCTTGTGTAGCCCTTCCACATAATCTTACAGCGGCCGGACCGCCCATCCAATGCAACCAATCCCGAATGACGAGTTTGAATTAGTCCTGCTCGGTGACGACCCCTAGAAAAAAGTGAAGATTGGGACCAGCCTCCTCGACTTGGCAAGGAAGCAGCTCAAAGCCTGCCTCCGGGAGAATGCAGATCTGTTCCCATGGACTGCCTCAGAGATGC